GAAAGAGACACAAAAAGGGACTGGGGAAGGAGAAATAAAAGGGACACACAAAGGAGTTGGGGGAGAAAGAGCCACATTAATAGGCTGGGGGACAAAGAGCCACATTAAGGGGCTGGGGAGGAGAAAGAGCAACAAAAAGAGGCTGGGGATGAAAGATACACAAAGGATGACTTTGGGGAGAAAGAGACACACAAAAGTGATGAGAGGGAAGAAACACAGAGTGGGGCTTAGGAAAGAGAAAAAGGCACACAAAGGGGCTGAGGGAAATAAGAGTCACACAAAGTTGGCATTTTTTTTTTTGGTGGGGTTGCAAGCAGCTAGCCTTGTCAAGAGCACAAAACAATCTTGCACTGGCTCTGAGGAAGAGGCAGGCCCTATGTGTGTGTAGCATGGTGTAGTAGTGTGTGAGGGTGCTACTGGCACTGCCACTGTCTGTGCTGTACCTGTGCAGTGTATACATATCACAGTCTAGTAGTGTATGTGGATGCAGAGGCTGGCACTACCGCTGTATGTGCACTGTGAGTACATAGCACAGTGTAGCAGTTGGCACTGCCATGGTGTATACATTTCAATGTTACAGATGTGTGGGATCACTCACTTGAAACAGTCCATCCGGAGACCGTGAGCGAATTTGCCCGCCTGGTACGGCTTCTCATCCATCACTGAACTAACAAATTCTGTGTCTTCTACAATGACTGCCAGCTCACTGTCCCGCTTTCCCATCATGCTCCTGTCGTTAATATTAGCAGAGCCTTGAAAAAATAAAAATGCATTTAGATATATATAATTTTGTTACAAAACAACTGAAAAATCCTGAGGGAATATTATAAACACATTTGTCCATTTATATCAACAGAAAACCCACTAATTGATCCTAGCCTCAATTTCTTAAAGTCTGTAAACTAAACGGACCCTAAGTTAGTGAGGAGAACATAGAGTCCATTTGGGTTACGTTAGAATTTGGTAATCACACAGTAACTCGTGTACGTGTGATTTATAGGCCCCCAGGACAAATAGAAGTGTTAGATAATCTACTAGTTGAGGAAATAGCTAAAATGACAATGAAGGGGGAAGTTATCATCATGGGTGACTTTAATCTTCCTGATGTAAATTGGAAAACAAAATTAGCTACTTGTGCCAGGAGCACACATATTCTAAACTCCCTACTGGGATTGTCTCTAAAACAAGTCGTTGTGGAGCAAACTCATAAAGAGGCCATACTAGATTTAGTCTTAACAAATGGAGATTTGGTATCAGATATTACTGTAGGTGAACGTTTAGGATCCAGTGATCACCAGTCAGTATGGTTTAACCCCTTAAGGACACAACTTCTGGAATAAAAGGAAATCATGACGGAATATTGCATTAGGCTGGTAGGGAAAAGCAGAAAAATTAAGAAACCACTGCGGTACTCCGCAGATGTGGCCAAAATAGTAAAAAACTAAAAGTTAGCATTTAGTAATTGTAAAAAAAACCAGAGTGAAGAAGATAGAAAGATCTATAAGATTAGGCAAAAAGAAGCTAAGCAAGTTATAAGAGCTTCGAAATCACACACAGAAGAGAAAATAGCACAGTCAGTAAAAAAGGGGGACACAACATTTTTTATATAGATAAATGAGAAAAGGAAAGTAAAACAAGGATTAGTTAGATTAAAAACAAAAGAATGAAGGTATGTAGAAGAGGATAAAGGTCTAGCTGACTGCCTCAATGAATATTTTTGTTCAGTATTTACAGATGAAAATAAAGGAAAGGGACCTCAGTTAGGAAAAATGACAAATGAGTCATTTATTACATGTGAGATTACAGAGGAAGAGGTTCTATGTCAACTGTCAAAAGTAAAGACAAATAATCAATGGGACCTGATGGAATACACCCAAAGTTATTAAAAGAGCTTAGTAGGGGGCGGGATCTGACACAGGAGCTGAGAGGAAGCAAATCTCAACAGCTCCTACTGCCTACAGCGATTAAAGCAGAATTTCACTGCCCAAACTGCAATTTTTTAATGCGAAAAGGCATCCAAAACAGAGGTGACATTAAGCGGCACAAGATGACACTACCCAAGCGGCAATACAAGCAATACTCACCGACAAGAAAATGAGGCCTACAAGCATGGCGGGTGCGGGAGAGATGGCCGCTTTCCTGCTGCACAGACAGCCAGCATCTCTGCACAAGGGCCCTTGTTCCCCCCCTTTGGACCGGTGGGGGTCATCCCGATATACTCCCAGAAAGAGAGCATTCACCTTCAAATCTGACAGGTGGAAGATACAAGACCAGACCAAGATGGCTGACCGCACTACTTCCCACACGGAGCGACTAACACCCAGCAACTGGGCAGCAGCCTTCCACATGAGATTTGATGCCATATGTAAACAATTTTGGGAACGCCTGGAGAACAGGCGCCAACCACCAGCACCATCACAGGTCAGCATTGTGGCTAGAGCACCAACAGCACGACAGCCAGCTGAATTCCTGTCCCCTGAACGGTGAAAAACCGAGGCGCAGCCGGGGGGGGCCCCGCCTGGGCAAAACAACTAACAGAGCTACCAACTATGATCCTAATGGCCCGTCTGTAACAAGAGCCACACGCGGGGCGACCTCTACTCACCACCCACGCTTGCAGAGGGGAGTAAGACTGCAGCAGAAGAAACAGAATGCAGCTCTTTGCAGCCCCACATTGGGGAAGGACAGAAAATAAATGAGCCATTTATTACACGTGAGTTTACAGAGGAAGAGGTTTTATTTCAACTGTCAAAAGTAAAGACAAATAAGTCAATGGGACCTGATGGAATACACCCAAAGCTATTAAAAGAGCTTAGTGGTGTACTAGCAAAACCATTAACAGATTTATTTAACCAATCATTGTTAACAGGAGTAGTCCCAGAAGATTGGAAGTTGGCGAATGTTGTGCCCATTTACAAGAAAGGTAATAGGGGCCATCCGACCCTTCTGGAAAGGCATACACGGTTTCCTCCAAACATTTTCTGATGCACCATCACCCTTCCTACCCGAGGCCATGCTCCTACACCACACGAAGACCCCCAGATCACGATACAAGAAATCACTAACCATACGAATGTTAAATGTAGCCAAACAGGTGCTCCCACAATTCTGGAAGCAGACAGTCACACCCCCACTGACTACTTGGTTTGCCCAAATGGAAGAGCTTAGGGCAGTGGAAGAACTTAACATGTGCCCCACTAACGCCTCTGACAAATATCTAGAAATCTGGTCACACTGGCTCCTGACGACCTCCAAAGACGACTTCGCGCACAGACTCAGATACGTGGACCAAGCGACCGCAGACGAAGACATACCCCGACAGTAACCCGACCCCCGACAGACAGAACCCTCACAATACACACACGCCCCTACAGACCGCACGAATTGCGACGAAAACTCACTATAACTTCGACTCCTACACCACAAGTTGGACAACGTTTCCCCCGACCTCTTAGAAGGCGGCATCACGCAGAAGCCTGCGAGATACAATCGCCTCTGCACTTGCCACAAAGGCGACTATACCGTTACTCTACCTACCACCTAAGGACAGGCGGGCCGCTGGCACGAGCACACAAACAAGCATTGATACATGACGCGACCCGAAACCTCTTGACACGGGCACTAACTCTAGGTATGTGGGGACCTGTAGGTCCATACCCCCATATATCGGACCAAGTGAAAATACTACCTAATGAATATGTTTCATGGGACCTGCGAGTCCAACAAACCACTGTTTCCAACGTTACAATGTGACCTGCGCGTCACCAATTTTTGTTTGCATGTTCATTATCTTCTTCTCCTCGAATATTTGAACGAGGCAACCTTTATATCAAATAAAAATATATTTACAAAAAAAAAAAAAAAAGAAAGTGTAGTAGGGAGGAGTCGGCAACCATAGGCCCGTAAGTCTTACTCCAGTAGTGGGAGTGATGGAAACCATGTTAAAGGATAGGATTGATGAACATCTAAAACACATGGATTTCAAGATCAGAGACAACATGGGTTTACTTCAGGGAGATCATGCCAAACTAATCTTATTGATTTTTTTGATTGGGTAACTAAAATTATAGATTAGGGTGGTGCAGTAGACATTGCTTACCTAGATTTCAGTAAGGCTTTTGACACTGTTGCACATAGAAGGCTTATCAATAAACTGCAATCTTTAAGTTTGGATTCCAATATTGTTGAATGGTAAGGCAGTGGCTGAGTGACAGGCAACAGAGGGTTGTAGTTAATGAAAAATATTCGAAGCTTGGACTTGTCACCAGTGGGGTACCTCAGGGATCTGTACTTGGACTCATTCTCTTTAATATTTTTATTAGTGATATTGCAGAAGGTCTTGATGGTAAGGTATGTCTTTTTGCTGATGATACTAAGATATGTAACAGGGTTGATGTTCCAGGAGGAATAAGCCAAATGACAAATGATTTAGGTAAACTAGAAAAATGGTCAGAATTGTGGCAACTGACATTTAATGTGGATAAGTTCAAGATAATGCATCTTGGACGTAAAAACCCAAGGGCAGAGTACAGAATATTTGATAGAGTCCGAACCTCAACATATGAGGAAAGGGATTTAGGGGTGATTATTTCTGATGACTTAAAGGTAGGCAGACAATGTAATAGAGCAGCAGGAAATGCCATCAGAATGCTTGGTTGTATAGGGAGAGGTATTAGCAGTAGAAAGAGGGAAGTGCTCATGCCATTGTACAGAACACTGGTGAGACCTCACTTGGAGTATTGTACGCAGTACTGGAGATCATATCTCCAGAAGGATATTGATACTTTAGAGAGAGATCAGAGAAGGGCTACTAAACTAATTCATGGATTGCAGGATAAAACTTACCAGGAAAGGTTAAAGGATCTTAACATGTATAGCTTGGAGGAAAGACGAGACAGGGAACATTTAAACACATAAAGGGAACATAGTAAAGGAGGAGACTGTATTTAAAAGAAGAAAAACAACTAGAGGACATAGTCTTAAATTAGAGGGGCAAATGTTTAAAAATAATATCAGGAAGTATTACTTTACTGAGAGGGTAGTGGATGCATGGAATAGCCTTCCAGCTGAAGTGGTAGATGTTAACTATAAGATAAGGTCAGGAAATAATGAAAGTATTTAGAAATTTGGGCAGACTAGATGGGCCGAATGGTTCTTATCTGCCACATTCTATGTTTCTATGTTTCAATGGGAGACACAAAGTTACAAAGTGGAGAGTTTAAACTATTAGCACTACATGCAATCACATCACAGCAAGCAAACATAATAATACGCCACACACGTTTACATTTGTATTTGTGCCAGTTTGTTTTTTGACAGGGAAAATAAACGTTAAAAACTCAAAAATGGAATGAGAGAGAACGAAACTTAACAGGACAAACCAGCACAAACGTAGCACTAACCAACCAGCCCGGTTTCATGTCTTTTGGCTGTTGTAGGACGGCTGGGTGACTTTTGGTGACCTTTCTTTAATCACTAATTATCTTAATAATAAAAGCAGCACAAATCTTAATTTTTACAGCACAAACGTAGCACTAACGAAACACATTGGATTTTTTATTTGGGCCAACTGTAGGGGGTTCAGCTTCACACAGCTAATTTATATTGGTTGATTGTAAGCAGCAGGCACCAATCTTCACCATCAAAAAGCTAATTAAAATGTTAATATATAACCAAATGTTTGGAAGAAAATTCATGAGAAAACAAAATGGATAATTAATGAAATTCAGTTCAGTTCTAAATTGGGGGGGGGGAACGTTTAATGAATGATCGGGACTAATTGATTAAACAAGTCTATCAAATGTCTAATTCCTCAGCGTCCATTGATGGTGGGACATTAAACTCATGAAATGCTTTTTATTTGGAGAGTCCATTCCCATCCAGTGCTGATACTGCTGACAGCAATGCGCAGGATCTCATTTGGCACTCAGCGTTGTTTGTCTGCAACCTCACAAGTAACAACAGAAAGCAGAGCTGGACTTTACAATGAGGGAGCAAAGGGGAATAAATGCTAAATTCACAAAACATGGAGCAATTTCTAATCTCTGCCCAAAACATTACAAGAAAGTGTTCCATCATCTCACATGATATTTCCTTTTAGCTTGTTTCCTTATAAGAAATGGATTTGCTTTGGAATCTAAATCTGTGTAAAAGATGGGGATAAAGATGCAGATTCTAATTTTGGAACTCTGAAAACTGCTAGGAACTGGCGGCCAAGGCAATTTCTGATAGAAAATGGTAAACCATGGTTTCCAGGCTCAGACACTTACCGATGATGACTTTTCGATCATCCACAATTAGCAGCTTGCTGTGTATGTAAATGAGCTCGGTAACGAGCGACCCGTCTGGCATTTCCCCATGCGTACGTAGACCACATACTGAGAGATACGACCGCCAGCTGTCTCCCACTAAAAGAAATGCGCCCTGAGTTAGAACCAAATATAAACAGCTAAAGAGCACAGATAACGGATAACACTGGCTCCCATAATCCTCTACTGCTATCCTTGCCCTGCTAGAAAACATTGCAATGAATATCAATCAGGATTCCCTAAAGCTTTGTAAACTGCCCCCACTTACTCCTTTCCTTCAGACGGGAGATAATAGAGTTGTCTCCTCTGCAAATAGTGCTGTAGAAACAAAGAAATGTTAGATTTGCATGATGTCCAAACTGGCATGGAACAAGGAGACCTAACTGGAGCTATTTACCTTGATTTTGCAAAGGCCTTTGACACAGAAGACCACGACATTCTACTGCACAAACTCAAATTGGTGATCGTCCCCTAACCTGCTTTCAGTGATATGTATCAGATCTATTTCAACATGTGTCCATTTCTGACATCGCCTCTCTCACTCTGTCACATGTGGTGTTCTCCCAAGACTCCATACTCGGCCCCCTACTATTCACATTGTTCATAAATTATCTTCCTAACGTCTGCAAAGCCTCAACTATACACATGTACACAGACAACACTGTAATCTACGCTAGCAAACCAAATTTACTGCAGCTTGAGGCTGTGCTCCAAAACCAATTCACAGAGGTAGAAAAGTGGATAGCGGATAACAAACTCTTCCTAAACACTGACAAAACCGTTACAATGGTCTTTGGAACTGTACCTAAATTACATAAACTACAAAATTAACAACTGTGTATCAGAACAATTCAAATAGCACACTGACAGCAGTCTGCTCTTTCAAATACCTAGGCATGCGTTGACATTGAAAAAACCTCTTGAAAAAACTTTATCCAAAACTAGGTACCCTGTACAGATACAAATCCTGCCTAAGCCCTAAAGTAAGGAAATAGATTCTAATGGCAGTCATTGAATATGGGGATGTAATGTATGCACCGGCATCGCAAACTCACCTTAATAAACGTACTGTGTTGTATAACTCGTTATGCCCCTTTGTGCTACAATGTAATTACATGATCCACCACTGTGACATGATAAAAGAACTAAACTGGCTGTCGCTGGAATCCCGACGCACTCTTCATCTTTCCAGCTTTGTGCATAAGAACTTTTCTGGGAAGCTCCCACCGCAATTATGGAATAACCTCTCAGACACACTTAAATCCCAGTAAAGGGAATCCTGTCAACATATGTCAGCACAGAATGCAATCATGTAATCATGGTTGATTATACTGCTTACCTGTTCTGTGTTAAATGTATATGTGTATTTAAGGTGACACTTTAGCTCATTGATGCCTACTGCAGGATGGGAGGGGGTAGGGGGTAGGAACTTGCATGCCTACTACAGGATGGGAGGGGGTAGGTACCTGTATGCCTACTGCAGGATGGGAGGGGGTAGGTACCTGTGTGTCTACTGCAGGATGGGAGGAGGTTGGTACCTGTATGCCTACTGCAGGATGGGAGGGGGTAGGTACCTGTATGCCTACTGCAGGATGGGAGGGGGTAGGTACCTGTATGCCTACTGCGGGATGGGAGGGGGTTGGTACCTGTATGCCTACTGCAGGATGGGAGGAGGTAGGTACCTGCATGCCTACTGCAGGATGGGAGGGGGTAGGTACCTGTATGCCTACTGCAGGATGGGAGGAGGTAGGTACCTGCATGCCTACTGCAAGATGGGAGGGGGTAGGTACATGTATGCCTACTGCAGGATGGGAGGAGGTAGGTACCTGTATACCTACTGCAGGATGGGAGGAGGTAGGTACCTGTATACCTACTGCAGGATGGGAGGGAGTAGGTACCTGTATACCTACTGCAGGATGGGAGGGGGTAGGTACCTGTATGCCTACTGCAGGATGGGAGGAGGTAAGTACCTGTATGCCTACTGCAGGATGGGAGGAGGTAGGTACCTGTATGCCTACTGCAGGATGAGTGGGGTACTTACCTAAATGTAAAGTGCAGGATTGCTTGTATTGAATTTCCTCCTCCTACATTAATGTTGCCTTCAAACCCAGGGATCAGTGGGATCACAATGAAAACTCGGAACTTGGTATTAGTGCTGCAATATTATCGATATTGTTACCATCACAAGAAATAATTACACAGCAATACCCCCTCCCCCCACGGTTACTAATTACAGCTACAAACACAGCATCCTGTACTAATCCCAGCTCTACACACACAGCACCCTGTACTAATCCCAGCTCTACACACACAGCGTCCTGTACTAATCCCAGCTCTACACACACACACAGCATCCTGTACTAATCCCAGCTCTACACACACACACACACAGCATCCTGTACTAATCCCAGCTCTACACACACAGCATCCTGCACTAATCCCATCTCTACACACACACAGTGTCCTGCGCTAATCCCAGCTCTACACACACAGCATCCTGCACTAATCCCAGTTCTACACACACAGCGTCCTGCACTAAGCCCAGTTCTACACACACAGCATCCTGCACTATTCCCAGCTCTACACACACAGCATCCTGCACTAATCCCAGTTCCACACACACACACACACACACAACATCCTGTACTAATCCCAGCTCTACACACACAGAGCATCCTGTACTAATTGTAGCTCTACACACACAGCATCCTGTGCTAATCCCAGCTCTACACACACTGCATCCTGTGCTAATCCCAGCTCTACACACACTGCGTCCTGTACTAATCCCAGCTCTACACACACAGCATCCTGTACTAATCCCAGCTCTACAAACACAGCATCCTGTACTAATCCCAGCTCTACAAACACAGCATCCTGTACTAATCCCAGCTCTGCACACACACTGCATCCTGTACTAATCCTAGCTCTACACACACATCATTCTGTTCTAATCCGAGCTCTACAAACACAGCATCCTGTACTAATCCCAGCTCTACACACACAGAGCATCCTGTACTAATCCCAGCTCTACACACACAGCATCCTGTACTAATCTCAGCTCTACACACACAGCATCCTGTACTAATCCCAGCTCTACACACACAGCATCCTGCATTAATCCCAGCTCTATACACACACAGTATCCTGTACTAATCCCAGCTCTACACACACAGCATCCTGTACTAATCCCACCTCTACACACACAGCATCCTGTACTTATCCCAGCTATACACACACACAGCATCCTGTACTAATTCCAGCTACACACACAGCACCCTGTACTAATCCCAGCTCTACACACACAGCACCCTGTACTAATCCCAGCTCTACACACACAGCACCCTGTACTAATCCCAGCTCTACACACACAGCATCCTGTATTAATCCCATCTCTACACACACAGCACCCTGTACTAATCCCAGCTCTACACACACAGCATCCTGTACTAATCCCAGCTCTACACACACACAGCATCCTGTACTAATCCCAGCTCTACACACACAGCATCCTGTACTAATCCCAGCTCTACACACACAGCACCCTGTACTAATCCCAGCTCTACACACACAGCATCCTGTACTAATCCCAGCTACACACACACAGCATCCTGTACTAATCCCAGCTTTACACACACAGCACCCTGTACTAATCCCAGCTTTACACACACGTTCTTTTTACCTGTATGCGCGTAGTATCCTCTGTACAATGACATCCCCTATAGTATTATGTATGGTCCCACTGGCTGTACAGCTAATAAAGAACTGATTCTAGAAATTGAGAAGATAAATTATTTATTTAGAATGCCAATCCTTTCCTTAATCAATAGCTCGACATTAACAAATTATATTCTGCAGAAACGAGGTGACCATGCAGCATATAACTTTAATGAACAAATCAAAAGAAAACTCTGTGGTTTTTATACCAGTAAAGGGGAGTGAAAACGTGATACGAAAAAGAAGAACTATATTGTAAAGGGCAGGGAATAAAGACACAAACCGTGAGCTGCAATATGACGATAACATAACGGACTGGGAACATTTTATTCGTTAATCAATTCTGTCTTAAAATTACATTTCTCTCAAAATTTCAGCTAATTCTCACTCTAGTAAATAATTCTGTAACAGAAATAATACTCATCAAAATCAAAACTTGAAAAATATCATGGGTAAGGCTGTGCCTAGTAAATGATGAAAAAATAGAATTTATAAAAAAAAAAAAAAAAAAAATGAAAGATGTTTGAAATCCGTATCTTTTGTGGGGGAAATAAGCAGAATTTGTAGATTCTATAGGGGGTTCTGACCAACCTAGAAAGAAACACAGCATTCAGCCAATCTTGGCCCACTCGCTAAATTAACAAATATCGTAACCATGACCCATTGGGGAGCAGGAGGACTGGACTACAAAATGTGAGTTAATGAAAGTTCGGATAGGCAAACGTCAAAGCTTTAGATATATTGGACTACAGGAGAGAAGAAGCCGTGTGGATGCACTAATCTCACCTCTATATACACGTAGTGTTCTGCCTCCGATATGCAGCGTACGTACGCGTTGAGAATGGAACATTCACTGCATCCAGCTGACCAGCCATCCACCGACCGCAGCAACTGATAAAAAACAAAGTCACAGGGAACAATTTCTCATCATATTACTTGTATGGAGCAATCAACGCTTTTTTGTCAAATTATGTATTTTGAATAATTTATTTTTAAATGTCTTTAGTGGCTGAGCAGCCATGTTGGGCAGGATTCTACTCTTATCTGACCAAATGCATCTCAACCTAACGTGCCTCCCGCTGCACGTTCAAACACAGGTTTTTGAGAAGGGGTGGCGGGCTTAAAGGGTAGGCCAAAAGATGTATTTTTTTATGTAGAAAAATTAAACAGATTATAGTGGGAAGAAGAATGCCTTTAAATAGATACCGTAGGCACACAGATCACTTCAGCCCATTGAAGTGGTCTGGGTGGCAACTCCCATCACCCTTAACCCTGCAAGTGTAAATATTGCAGTTTTCATAAACTGCAATAATTACCTTACAGGGTTAAGTCCTCCTCCAGTGGCTATCTACCAGACAGCCACTAGAGAGACTTCCGGGTTCTTAGACAACTTTTGGTCGTCTAAATGACGCTGGGCGTCCTCACGCTATGCATGTGGACCTTCAGTGTTGCTGGAATCCCAACAGGGAGGCATTGAATAATGCTTTCCTATGGGGAGATCCTGATGCGAGCGCGGCCATTGCCGAGCATGCTCATTAGGTCTCCCACGCTGGCGGACGTCGGCGGGGAAGGAGCGTGGACTGAGCCTGACCCCGCGTCGAGAGACATCAACGGTGGATTCAGGTAAGTGTCTGAAGGGGTTCTAACCCCTTCAGCGACGTCGGATGGGGGGTGCAAGGGAGGAGGGCGCTCCAGAATTCTACAGTGCCAGGAAAATGGCTTTGTTTTCCTGGCACTAGAGAATCTCTTTAAATTGTGTTGGCACCTTAAATTATCCTGCCACTTTAAATAACTCCATACTGACCAAAGAGCACGCAACAAAGACCTATACATTGTGAAAATATTCTAATAAAACTGCAGTCTATTTGTCAATATGGATTGTATTTCAGAGAAATGTAGGACGTCCTTTTATCCCTCTCTCTCCTGGGCTTGCTACCAACGAGAAATAAATTTCAGACCACAGAGCGTGCTCAGCCAATCAGAAGGAGCGCAGAGGCATGCTGGGATTATGCATATAATACATTTTATATATAAATAAAAAATAAAAAAAAAGGAACATGCATAAAATTATCTTCAAACTGCTAAAAGCCTTTTAAACCCATTAATACTATACCTAGACAAAATTGGTGCTACGTTGATAAATGTTAGGTAAGTGATAAATGATCAATAATAATCAACGTAATATCCAAGTCAACAAAAGCGAGAAGAGACTGGCCACCTGTGCATTATGGGGAGAGCAGCATCGCGGGCAAATTAAACGTTCCTTGCAGAAGCTGGCTGCAAATAAGGGGACGTGTTAGCTTTAAGTATCCATCACCTTACCTTCCTTGCAACATGGGAAGCCCTAGAAACAAGTATCTGATTAATAATGTCTGAATTCCATGCGGACCGGCGTCGGCATGTAATCCTGTCCACATACAGAGTATGGAAAATAAATGACTCACATACATATGATCTTGTGTTAGTTTCCAAGGGCCCTAGGTGGCGCTTTAAAGCACATAAAAAACATTAAAAATAAGCATAATAATTCCAAAAAATATATTAAACAGTGAATTGCGATGAGCTGTAATTCTGCCGTAAATTGATTTTTATTTTGATCTTGGCTCACTGATATTAGGAAGACTATTATGTTAGATAGGTTAAAGGAACACTATAGTCACCTAAATTACTTTAGCTAAATAAAGCAGTTTTAGTGTATAGATCATTCCCCTGCAATTTCACTGCTCAATTCACTGTCATTTAGGAGTTAAATCACTTTGTTTCTGTTTATGCAGCCCTAGCCACACCTCCCCTGGCTATGATTGACAGAGCCTGCATGGAAAAAAAAACTGGTTTCACTTTCAAACAGATGTAATTTACCTTAAATAATTGTATCTCAATCTCTAAATTAAACTTTAATCACATACAGGAGGCTCTTGCAGGGTCTAGCAAGCTATTAACAGAGCAGGGGATAAGAAAATCTTAATTAAACAGAACTTGCAATAAAGAAAGCCTAAATAGGGCTCTCCTTACAGGAAGTGTTTATGGAAGGCTGTGCAAGTCACATGCAGGGAGGTGTGACTAGGGCTCATAAAAAAAGGGATTTAACTCCTAAATGGCAGTGAATTGAGCAGTGAGGCTGCAGAGGCATGTTCTATACACCAAAACTGCTTCATTAAGCTAAAGTTGTTCAGTTGACTATAGTGTCCCTTTAAAGTTCTAATAGTAATGAATTATAATGAGCAGAATGTACAGAAGGTACATTCCCCCCCCCAGAGAGCCCCCTCCCCCTCCCCCCCCCAGAGAGCCCAAAGAGATCCTCCTGCCGAATGCATCCCACCTGCACTTGAGCGCTGTGTGACCCCGGCACTGTATAATGCAGCTTGTCAGCCGTGCTCTGAGACTTCGGCAGCAGAAAAGGGAAAGAACGACCTTTATATTTCGACTTGATGTTCTGTAGAAAGAGGAAAGGTCACTGAAGTTGTTGTAATAACAAGTGTGTGCTCTGAAGTGTAGTAGTGTAGCAGTGTAGAGGAATGCACTAGAGTGTTGTAGGAGTGTCAGAGATCCAGCAGGATGCCACAGTGTGGTGCAGTAACAGTGTCAGTGGTTGTGTCAGGGGTTGTGTGAGGGCAATGGTGCAGTGTGTTGGTATAGTGACATGTTGAAGTTGTGTCAGGGCAGTGGTGCAGTGTGCTAGTATAGTGACATGCTGTAGTTGTGTCAGGGCAGTGGTGCAGTGTGTTAGTATATTGACATGTTGTAGTTGTGTCAGGGCAGTGTGTTAGTATAGTGACATGTTGAAGTTGTGTCAGTGGGATCCCAGTATACTCCTTTAAATGGAAGTCAGGAACCGCAGCGTAGGTAAGTAATACACTTTATTACAAAATAAACCAACTCTAAATAATACGTTGGTAAAAACAGCTCTTAGCACAACGCGTTTTGACCGTAGCTGGTCTTCCTCAGGTGCATATCCTACTGTGAATTCAGTAGGATATGCACCTGAGGAAGACCAGCTACGGTCGAAACGCGTTGTGCTAAGAGCTGTTTTTACCACTTATTATTTAGGGTTTGTTTATTTTGCTGCGGTTCCTGACTTTTAAAGGAGTATACTGGGATCCCATGACTTAACAACACGCCAAGTGGTTTTTACAAACACCTACTGAGTTCAGAGCCGACCTTAAGGGCTCTTAAATATGTGAGTGTCCTCTACATTGATTCTACAGATAACACTTTTATACAGTCTGTGCTATGTCGCTTTTATGTTTTTTTAAATAGGTTTTATTCTGAATACCTCTGCCTATGTGAGATAAGCTTACCATTTGTGCGCTTACACCTTGTTGTTTTCAAGTGTTGAAGTATAGTGACACAATGATGGAGCATAGCCAAAGGAAACAATAACTACCAATGTAAAATTAAAATTACAAATATTATGTTATTTTATTTGTCTGGTTTTATAGTTGGCTGTTTAGAAGATTGTCCCCAATCTACTGTAATAGCGTAACGCTGTGTGATATGCTGTAGGAGTAAGGACATTCAGATGAAGTAGTGTAGACCTTGGCACTGTCATCAAACAATGCGGTGCTCACCTTTGTAAAGTTCCATCTTTGGATAAAGTGTCGTGAGGCATCTCGGGCAGCTTTCCCATGAATCACAACCCCCACATCCCTCCACGGCATTCTCGGGTTTTTCTTACGGTCAATGAAATCTGAAGTCAAAAGAAAGAAGATAAATACAATTAAATATGGAGTAATAAACATTAACATTCCAACTCATCAGGGTGAGACAGACACTGGGTGCTATGAATCTAAATCTGTCCCTCCCCCTGCAGGGTGACACAGTGACACAGACAATAGGAGCTATGATTCTGTCCCTCCCCCTGCAGGGTGACACAGTGACACACACAGACAATAGGAGCTATGATTCTGTCCCTCCCCCTGCAGGGTGACACAGACAGAAGGAGCTATGAGTCTGTCCCTCCCGCTGCAGGGTGACACAGTGACACACACAGACAATAGGAGCTATGATTCTGTCCCTCCCCCTGCAGGGTGACACAGTGTCATAGACAGAAGGAGCTATGAGTCTGTCCCTCCCCCTGCAGGGTGACACAGTGACACAGGCAGAAGGAGCTATGAGTCTGTCCCTCCACCTGCAGGGTGACACAATGACACAGACAGAAGGAGCTATGAGTCTGTCCCTCCCCCTGCAGGGTGACCTAGTAACACAGACAGAAGGAGCTATGAGTCTGTCCCACCCCCTGCAGGGTGACACAGTAACACAGACAGAAGGAGCTATGAGTCTGTCCTTCCCCCTGCAGGGTGACACAGTAACACAGACAGAAGGAGCTATGAGTCTGTCCTTCCCCCTGCAGGGTGACACTGTGACACAGACAGAAGGAGCTATGAGTCTGTCCCTCCCCCTGAAGGGTGACACAGTGACACAGACAGAAGGAGCTATGAGTCTGTCCCTCCCCCTGCAGGGTGACACAGTGACACAGACAGAAGGAGCTATGAGTCTGTCCTTCCCCCTGCAGGGTGACACAGTAACACAGACAGAAGGAGCTATGAGTCTGTCCCTCCCCCTGCAGGGTGACCTAGTAACACAGACAGAAGGAGCTATGAGTCTGTCCCACCCCCTGCAGGGTGACACAGTGACGCAGACAGAAGGAGCTATGAGTCTGTCCCTCCCCCTGCAGGGTGACACAGTGACACAGACAGAAGGAGTTATGAGTCTGTCCCTCCCCCTGCAGGGTGATACGGTGACACAGACAGAAGGAGCTATGAGTTTGTCCCTTCCCCTGCAGGGTGACACAGTGACACAGACAGAAGGAGCTATGAGTCTGTCCCTCCCCCTGCAGGTGACACGGTGACACAGACAGAAGGAGCTATGAGTCTGTCCCTCCCCCTGCAGGGTGACACAGTGATACAGACAGAAGGAGCTATGAGTCTGTCCCTTCCCCTGCAGGGTGACACAGTGACACAGACAGAAGGAGCTATGAGTCTGTCCCTTCCCCTGCAGGGTGACACAGTGACATAGACAGAAGGAGCTATGAGTCTGTCCCTCCCCCTGCAGGGTGACACAGTGACACAGACAGAAGGAGCTATGAGTCTGTCCCTCCCCCTGCAGGGTGACACGGTGACACAGACAGAAGGAGCTATGAGTCTGTCCCTCCCCCTGCAGGGTGACACAGTGACACAGACAGAAGGAGCTATGAGTCTGTCCCTCCCCCTGCAGGGTGACACAGTAACACAGACAGAAGGAGCTATGAATCTGTCCTTCCCCCTGCAGGGTGACACGGTGACACAGACAGAAGGAGCTATGAGTCTGTCCCTCCCCCTGCAGGGTGACACAGTGACACAGACAGAAGGAGCTATGAGTCTGTCCCTCCCCTGCAGGGTGACACAGTGAGACAGACAGAAGGAGCTAAGAGTCTGTGCCTTCCTGCAGGGTGACACAGTGAGACAGACAGAAGGGGCTATGAGTCTGTCCCTCCCCTGCAGGGTGACACAGTGACACAGACAGAAGGAGCTATGAGTCTGTCCCTCCCCTGCAGGGTGACACAGTGACACAGACAGAAGGAGCTATGAGTCTGTCCCTCCTCGCAGGTAAGTGACACAGTGATGCAGACAGAAGGAGCTATGAGTCTGTCCCTCCCCCTGCAGGGTGACACGGTGACACAGACAGAAGGAGCTATGAGTCTGTCCCTCCCCGTGCAGGGTGACACGGTGACACAGACAGAAGGAGCTATGAGTCTGTCCCTCCCCGTGCAGGGTGACACAGTGATGCAGACAGAAGGAGCTATGAGTCTGTCCCTCCCCCCTGCAGGGTGATACACATAAAAAGCGTTTGTCAGTCAATGGACTGTGCCAATAACAGTAACAGCAGTGTAAGACAGATAAAGGAAAGCCATACGGATATGGAAAATAACTATTTGGGAGTACATTCGTTTCAGTAAATTATCACATTTCCGGCGCCCACCAGGTAGATAAGTAGCAAGTAAGCCCCCAGGATTGGCCAGTCCAGCTTGTCTCAGTGGCTGAGTCACATGGCGTTGTAGTTGGCGCAGCTTGGCGTTTAGTCCACTCTCACTACTTCTATAGCAATTTATTCTGTATCACAAATATCCGGGAACAAATGGAAATGACGTGATCTAATATTCCTAATCACACAACTCACAAACTGAATGAATCTATATTTATCAGCAGCTAAGCCAGACACAGAATTGAAAAGGTGCAACATGACATAAAGATGATTATTTACACTAGTGACTTACACGAGTCAGTGACTGTTTTCTGATTGGTGTCCAACCTTGTCGCTATTGTTTAACAGTTGCCACTAACTATCAGAACCAACATCAGGCTCGCAGAAAACCCGACACAAGATATAAACCATAAATTATTCTTTATATAAGTAAAGTGCATGTGTCATTTAAATGACTAATTTCCATAGCAGGAATTCACCTCAAATCACAGCATTGTGTGCACTGTTAGTATCTCCTGTTAAGTCCAATCACAGGGTGATGCACTCAGGTGCAAGGTGAGCCTTATTTTATCCGGACAATGTGCAAAGCGTGAGTTTCCGTGCTTTTACCCTTCACTCCATTCATTTTATTATTGTATTAATGGACCCTCATTGGGGAGCATGGGGTGGGGATACTATGTTTAAGGACTCACTCCATTCATTTCATTATTGTATTAATGGACCCTCATTGGAGAGCATGGGGTGGGGGTACTATGTTTAAAGACTCACTCCATTCATTTCATTATTGTATTAATGGACCCTCATTGGGGAGCATGGGGTGGGGGTACTATGTTTAAAGACTCACTCCATTCATTTCATTATTGTATTAATGGACCCTCATTGGGGAGCATGGGGTGGGGGTACTATGTTTAAGGACTCACTCCATTCATTTCATTATTGTATTAATGGACCCTCATTGGAGAGCATGGGGTGGGGGTACTATGTTTAAAGACTCACTCCATTCATTTCATTATTGTATTAATGGACCCTCATTGGAGAGCATGGGGTGGGGGTACTATGTTTAAAGACTCACTCCATTCATTTCATTATTGTATTAATGGACCCTCATTGGGGAGCATGGGGTGGGGGTACTATGTTTAAAGACTCACTCCATTCATTTCATTATTGTATTAATGGACCTCATTGGGGAGCATGGGGTGGGGGTACTATGTTTAAAGACTCACTCCATTCATTTCATTATTGTATTAATGGACCCTCATTGGGGAGCATGGGGTGGGGGTACTATGTTTAAAGACTCACTCCATTCATTTCATTATTGTATTAATGGACCCTCATTGGGGAGCATGGGGTGGGGGTACTATGTTTAAAGACTCACTCCATTCATTTCATTATTGTATTAATGGACCCTCATTGGAGAGCATGGGGTGGGGGTACTATGTTTAAAGACTCACTCCATTCATTTCATTATTGTATTAATGGACCCTCATTGGGGAGCATGGGGTGGGGGTACTATGTTTAAAGACTCACTCCATTCATTTCATTATTGTATTAATGGACCCTCATTGGGGAGCATGGGGTGGGGGTACTATGTTTAAGGACTCACTCCATTCATTTCATTATTGTATTAATGGACCCTCATTGGGGAGCATGGGGTGGGGGTACTATGTTTAAAGACTCACTCCATTCATTTCATTATTGTATTAATGGACCCTCATTGGAGAGCATGGGGTGGGGCACAATGTTTAAACACTCACTCCATTCATTTCATTATTGTATTAATGGACCCTCATTGGGGAGCATGGGGTAACTTTTTGTCCACGGGGACCCAAACACTTGATTCCACCATTTTCTTTTTATTTTGTGATATGTACTTAACCATCACGTCTAAGCATTCCCTTGTATTCTGGCTCGCCCGTCACCCTATACAAGCTTTGGAGGGGAGGGGGGAAAGGTTCACCAGACTGTAAAAGCTGGGAATTAACCAGGAAATTGCTAATTGTATGCTAGAGTAGACAAAAAGGAAAAATATGCAATATGCTAAATTTGTAATTCTCATGTCAGTTCTCCTCAATTCCTGATTCAATAAAGTGTGAATATTTGAAGGATTGTGATGAAATGTTGATATTTTTCAAACTCGTCATTTCTTTCCTAATCTGTCCCATTTATTCCCTAGGGAGCATGATTTGCTAAATCTACAACCTTGCATTTATGTGTTAAATCTCCTCTGACGTTCACCTGCCTCCCGTAAAAATTTCCCCGAAGCCCTCTGCTGAGAATGTGATGAGCGAGTAACCTTACATCTTGTACCTTTGATGAATGGTAAAAAACAGGGTGGCCTAGTTCTGAACCTTGTGCTTCATTTACAAGAAACTCTCTCAGTCCCTCAGCTTCAAATTATTTCTTAAAACATACAGAACTTTCTCAGAAATATTTTATTGATGTTGTATTCCCAGTACCGCCATCCGAAATGTGGAAAGCCTGGATTACGCCATAACTGCTCAGAGCTTCAATCTTATTCCTTTAATTCCTAGCAGTAAAAAAACGACTGCTTCATTAAAGGCTGGATAGAGAAAAAGAAATAATATTGGTAATGGCCCTGGCATGTGTTGGGAGGTTTGTCTACAGGGTTGTACATACTGGCATCTATTCATTTATTGACTTAGTAAAAAAGTAACACTACCAAAATATCTTATTTACACAAATTATTATTATTTATTCTTAGAAAAAATGCTATATCTTAATGTCAAAACACCTAAAGCTTTATTTTTGTGGATCGTTGTGATATACTCATGCACATACCTCCCAAGTACCCCTCTTTAAGTGGGGTAGTCCTCTGTCCCTCTTTTCTAGGAGCTCCATATTGTTGGTGTGTCTGAGTGTATACAGGGGCGTTTTAGCCGCGAGGCAAACAAGGCATTTGCCTTAGGCGGCATTTTTGAGGGGGCGGCAAAAAACGCCGCCCCCAAATGCCCAGGGCAAATGCCTTGTTAGCCTTGCGGCTAACTGACAGGCTGGGCTGGCGGGCGGCGCTGGGCAGGCGGCTGGCGAGGGAGCTCTTCCCCTGAGCTATCCGCTCAGCTCCCTCGCGCGCCGCAGAGTGAGGCTGGGAGCCGGAATATGACGTCATCTTCCGGCTCCCAGCCTCACTTTGCGGCGCGCGAGGGAGCTGAGCAGACCGCTCAGGGGAAGAGCTCCCTCGTCGCCGCCTGCCCAGCCGGCAACCACTGGACCACCAGGGAGGTAATGAACCCCCCTCCCCCCCAGCACTCCCAAAGGTAAGGAGGTGGGGGGGGGGGTAAATAAAAAATAAAATAAAAAAAATGTGTTAATGTGAGTGAGTGAGTGTGTGTCTGTTAATGTTTTGTTAGTGTGTATGTGTCTGTTAGTGTGTGTCTGTGTGTGTCTGACTGTGTGTGTCTGACTGTGTGTGTCTGACTGTGTTTTTACTACTGTGTGTGTCTGTTAGTGTGTGTCTGACTGTGTGTGTCTGACTGTGTGTGTCTGACTGTGTCTGTTAGTGTGTATGTGTGTGTCTGAGTGTGTGTTTGCCTGTGAGTGTGTGTGTCTGTTAGTGTGTATGTGTGTGTCTGACTGTGTGTGTGTCAGTGAGTGTGTGTTTGCCTGTGAGTGTGTGTGTGTGTGTGTGTCTGTTAGTGTGTGTGTCTGTTAGTGTGTGTGTGTGTATTTGCCTGTGAGTGTGTGTGTCAGTGAATTGTGTGTCTGTTAATGTGTGTGTGTGTCTGACTTTGTGTGTCTGTTAGTGTGTGTCTGTTAGTGTGTGTCTGACTGTGTGTGTCTGACTGTGTGTGTCTGTCTGACTGTGTGTGTCTGACTGTCTGACTGTGTGTGTCTGTCTGACTGTGTGTGTCTGTCTGTTAGTGTGTATGTGTGTGTCTGACTGTGTGTCAGTGAGTGTGTGTTTGCCTGTGAGTGTGTGTGTCTGTTAGTGTGTATGTGTGTGTCTGACTGTGTGTCAGTGAGTGTGTGTTTGCCTGTGAGTGTGTGTGTGTGTCTGTTAGTGTGTGTGTCTGTTAGTGTGTGTGTGTGTATTTGCCTGTGAGTGTGTGTGTCAGTGAGTGTGTGTCTGTTAATCTGTGTGTGTTTGTTAGTGTGTGTGTGTGTCTGCTAGTGAGTGTGTGTCTGACTGTGGTTGTCTGTTAGTGTGTATGTGTGTGTCTGACTGTGTGTCAGTGAGTGTGTGTGTGTGTCTGACTGTGTGAGTGTGTTTCCTGTGAGTGTGTGTGTCAGTGAGTGTGTGTCTGTTAGTGAGTGTGAGTGTGTCTGTTAGTGTGTGTGTGTGTTTCTGTTAGCGAGTGTATGCGTATCTGTCAGTGAATGTATGTGTGTGTGTGTATTTAGAAGGTGGGTTGGGAGGAGGGGGGTTGGCGCGGGGGGGGGGGGCCTGAGT